AAAGCTCTCATGCTACTCCGTAGTGGTGCTGCAGTGGTAGCACTCGCTCACTGGGAGAACCATATTTAGAAAAGATGTTGGGTTCTCCCCCAGAGCAATGTAACAGTTTGGTAAGTGAAATTAACAGCCCAGTAAGAGTCAAATACTGTCAGATTAAAAAAAAAATAGAGCTAGACTCCTACAGGGAGAAGTCTGGGCTGAAGGCATCGAGCTTTATTGCAGGGATTCATTTAATCCCTGCTTGGGAACATAAAAAAAAGTCCTAAAGCTATGTGCTGGGAACAGGGGCTACATTAAATGCAAGACGAGCAATATAAAACCACAGCCTGCCAACCTCCCTCCTCCCGTGTTTTCTGCAATAAATACCAAGAAGCTAATAACGGTGTACGAACTTCGCGCAAGCAGCCGGCACCCGGCTTTTAATAAGCGAGAGGGGAGGCCCTTGCGAGGGTCTGCACCGGGGGGGCGCTGCCCCGACGGCCGAGGCTCCACCTGCGGCGCTGACAGGGCCCGGGGGCAGCGGGCCGGGGCCAGGGCAACCTGCTGCAGCGGGGCGGCAGCTTACTTATTCACTTACCCGGGGCCCCGTGGCTCGGTGGCCGCGACCCTGCGGCAGATGCACCAGCAGCAGCGCCAGCAAGAACGGGCGAGCACCCGCGCTGCGACAGGCCCGCGGCACCATTGTCCCTCGGGGCGGCGGCGGAGCTCTGCGGCCACCGGCAGCAGCTCTGCCGAGCGGCGGCGTGTCCGTGTCGGGCGGAGCGGCGCTGCCGGTGCCGCCGCGGCAGGTTACGCGCCCCGGCCATGGGGATGCCGCTTATAAAGCCGCGGCGGGGCGGGGCCGGGCGGCACTGACCGCGGCAAGCACCAATAGTCGCGCGACCGCCGCGGGCCGCAGCCAATGGCGGAGAGGCGGTGCCGCCCGCCCCGCCCCGCCCCGCGGCCCGGCGAGAGGCGGACGGCGCAGGTTGGCCGCGGGCAGTGGCGCTGCCGGCGGGGGGCGCGGGGCGGCAGCGCCCGGGGCCCGCAGCATCTGGAGACCTCGGCGGCACCTGGGCGGGTGCCGGGCACACTCGGCGGGGCTGCGGGAGACGACCAGCCAGCGCGGCCTGCACTCTCCAGCTCAAAGCCCTGCAGGGCATACCCGGCCCCAGCCCCGGGCAGGGACAGTAACAGCTGAGCCGTGCAGCCGGGTCGGGCTGGTAACCAGGAAACTTTGGCGTAGGAAATCACCTCGTGGTCCACAGACCGCGTTCCTTTGGTCTGGCGCTCTGGGGCAAAAGCTGCTGTAGGCACAAGCTCGTGCCTCAGGGTGTGCATGTCCTCTTGTCACCTCCATGCCGGGGCCCAGGGCATGGCTGACCCACAGCCACAGAGACTACCTGTCCCTGAAGATCTTTCCCTACCTTCCCAACTGCACAAGTAGGCCCACAACCCATTGCTTTGCATTGCCCAACCAATCCTGAAGACCTCGTTGTGGAGGTGATGTGCTTGTGGTCTTTCCCTTGCACCTGGAAAACCATTCCAAGTTTGGTACCTCTTGAGACAACAAGCCCTTATTGACTGCATGAGGGTCCCAGTATGTAAAAGCATAACCAGGCACTCAGTAATGGGAAGCTTGGGTAGAAAGTGAGCATTGTGTCATGCAACAGGGAAGTGAGTGCAGCTGTGGAGCAGAAGCAGGAGGGAAATGGAGATACATCGACCGGCAGGGCCCAGTCTCTGCAGGCCTGTCTGTCTGATTACGAACTAAAGTGGGAGCAGTACCATGGCAGCGTAATGGCAGTAAGCTGTAGACTCTGAGCTCTGGAGGCCGAGTCTAATGCTAAGCCCCTCTCTACGTGCTTACTGAGTGGTGGAGATACCTTGGGAACCAGGTTGACTTGCTTTTACATTGAGTCCTTCATTTTCAAATTACCAGCATGAATTTGATGGAGGGTATGGCAGTGCAGAGGCCAAACATTTTGAAAAACAATATGCACAGGAGGTTATTGCTATGCATGTAATACCGATAATTTTATGTAGCACTATTTTGTGATGCTCTCAAGGAAACACACAAGACATGAAATTTCTTCATACAATGTATTTAACTTTCTTTAGTAGATGACCTTACAAGAGGCAATACTCACATTTGCAAAAATTCCCTACAGTGTATCCGCTAGGTATGGGGAGGGGCTGCTACGCCCACACGAAGAACCGTGTTACACAGTAGAAGTCGTGTAATTCTGGCATCTTATCAGAGCAAAGCAGTGTGTTTAGCTATAGCGGTTGCTTTAATCTTTCTTTAAAAAAAAAACAAACAACACACAACAAAAAAAACTCCACAAACAAAAAAAAAAAACCAAACCAAACATATTTATTTTTAAAATCCCACTATGTAACATTTTATCATTAGACTAGACAGGATAAGCCATTTGTTACTCACACGGAGCTCTGCAAGTATTCATTATTTTTGGCCTCTGGGACTCCAAACACAGCACCCCATACAAGCCTATCTTAGTCCTAACCCTCACCACTCTGCCAGCTCTTCTCCAATATGGCCTGCAGTATCCTCTGATTTTCCATTTCAAAGTCTCTCTGATCCATACCTGAACTTATGCCATTCCACATGACATGAGCAGAAGGACCTTGAGGGGAAGAGGAGGGGGAGAGCTGGGTAATCTGAATATGAGTGTCCTTGTGTACATCAGGATCAGCTCTGTTGAGTTTGGACGAGTTGTATCAGTGCACACCTGAATCTGTGAAAAGACAGGGAGAATCTAGTACAGTTTTGTTCAGGTGGTGATCCCACCACTGAAGTACCACATCACCTCATAGTTAAGTCTTGATAAAATTTCAGTCCAGATAACAATATCACACTTGCCTAAGTTCCCCTCTTCAGCTTTATTTTTGCATCTGACCTATTTCATGTGTGATGCCTTCATGTGTTCTTTATCACTTCTACTTTAAACATGAATGTCTTTCTTTGGTGTATTTTTTCACAGACAAACCCATGGATATCAGGATCTCTGTGCTATATAAATGGTCATTACCACCATAAAAAAATAATTGTTTTCCTAATCCCTAACGAAGAATATCTACTACATGGGAAGCCTACCCTTCAATGCCTATGAAGCCCTGACACCAGCAGCATCTTAACACCAAATAAAAGTTCTAGAGATGGTCAGAAATTCCCAGTAACAGAACCCTTTGATCCCTTTATGGCCAAAGCTGTTCATAACCTTGGCACACATACTTCAGTCTTGACCTATATTCCCATGGCCAGGTGTTTCTCTGTAGGAATGTATATTTCCTTTGCAGAATCACAGAATATTCTGAATTGGAAGTGACCCACAAGGACAATCGAGTCCAACTCTTAAGCGAATGGCCTGTACAGAATCGAACTAGTACCTTAGTGCAGAAGAGACTTCATAGCCTGGCCTATGTATCACAAACATTAAATTCCACAAAGCTGCTCCAAGCCCAAAAACCTTACCGAATCACCATTCAGGAGGGTGGAAGACATCCAAGTTCATTTAAAGACACCATCAAGAGAGAAAATACATAGGGTTTTTTTCCAATAGTAAATTACCTTCACAATTGAAAATGCATGCCAAACTCTTCAGCATAGTGGTCTGGCTGCTTCGGTTGGTATAGGTGCACTTTCCTGGTGTGTCATCTTCTAAGAAAAATGTAGGTAAATAAAACAAACTGCTGAAACAGAAAGTTTTGTGCCACTAAATTGTCTGTTATTTCTCTTCAGATTGCTGGCAAGTGGGAAGTGCCTGCACTGGGAACCAGTGGCCTTGCAGAGATGCTGACGAGCCAAGAGCAGGCTACTGACCAAATGTAAGAGGAATTGGGCTCATAGCCTTCTCACTTGAGCTCTTCTGAAAATCCCTGCCATCACTCAGAGTGCCAAAGACTGTGCTGGCACAGTGCCACTCCAGTCAGTGGTGTCTCACCAGCAAAGAAGTTGCCCAGGGTGTGTAACTGAAAACTACAAAGAGAGAGGGACATAGAACTGGAAGAGGAGTTGTTCTTCATGTCTAGACATTTTTGCACAAGGCCCAAAGTTTGGATCCTTCAGAGGAAGACGTAAACTCAGCTGTAATGAATTCAACTATGCAATGATGCTGGAGGTAGCACTGAAACTGGTACCGTTGGGACTTGTTGTGTATACCAGATCAGCCTACGACTTGCACCTCAGAAGACTTACCCCAACATGTGCCTGTCTGTGTTGATGATTAATATCTTGTTGCTATGGTGCATGCATATCATGCTCACCACCACAAACTCATGGCACAGAACGTATATATTGGTGGTCTTGACAACTGTTCAGGGAAAACTGTTTGATTGCTTTGATTATTTGCCTCTGCATCTACTTCTCTTGTCCTCAAACAAGTTTCAGAAGATTGCTGTCCTCTTTTGAATAGTATTTGCCCCCACAACAGAACTGACATGGGATCTATCTGCCACAGCTTCCATCAGGGCAAGTATCCCCTCTTGCACATGTTTAGTAGAAATGTTTACTCACACTTTCAATACAGAATAGTCTGCTGCCTCCAAATATGAGTTAATTGCTTTTAGAGACCAATTTACTGTTAGAGGTCCTTTTTTAAGTCAGTGGATGCTACAACTGCTCCTGCAACAAGTTTAGATTTCACTTTTTGTCACAAAAGGAATAAAGAATAAAATGGGGAATTTGCTAAAAGATTGGTTCTTGTAGGTTGTAACAATGCAGAATTCAGAGCTATTTTTTTTAACATCGTGCCTATTGAATTATTTGGATCATATTAATCAGAGAATTATCCATTGCTGCCAGGCTTTAATTGCTGAGAACCTGCAGAAGTGAAAGAGCCTTTTATACTATGCTGGCACCCCCAAATCTCCATCTAAGGTGAGTTCAGGGCAGCCCAGAATAAAGATTGGAAAGCCACAAAGTTAACCATACTCACGATCCAATGCAGTTTGGAATAGCAACCACAGGATGAGAGACTCTGTGCAGTCACCCTAAAATGAGGTAGAATACAATTTCCCCAGCTTCCCAGACATAGGTAGAATGTGAGGGAGTGGGGAGGAGTAAATTTGATTCAGTGATTATGAAAGTGAAAATCAGGAATCATTGGGTTTGAAAGGACTCACATCGCAGTGAACAGCAATTTTACAGTGTCATCCACTGTCAGCACAATTGCTGCTATGTGCAAAGTATTCACACTTATTAAGCAGACACACATTGCTATTAGCATATTTTGGGGTGCATTTGATGGATTGTGTCAACAAAAAGGAGTCTCAGCTAATTATATATATGCCTGAATAAAACAGAAACCCCATTAGTAATAGGAAGTGTTCTATTGGGCTTTTCATCCTGGAAGCTCTTTGCAGAATATTCACTTACACTTGGACAAAAAGCTTTGTCAAAAATATTGTAGGATTTCAAGTCTTTTCCCATGAAATCCATCTAGAGTCTGCCACTTCATTCATTATACTTCATACAGAAATTCTGTGCAGACTTTTTCTCTAGAAAGTATATCAAATTGTGTTGGTCCTGGCTGCACTACTTTGGTTTCCCAAAATGTTGCTAGTAGTCCTGGTTAGTTCCCGAACTGACAGTTCACTGCCAAACCTTCAACTCTCACTAGTGCCATCCATCTGACTCTACTACCCAACTGTACCTTCATGGCCCTGTGTTATTCCACCACAGGAAGAGGCTGTTGGCCATACACCTTTATTATTATGAAAACAAAACCCAAAAAAGGAATGCAGTGAGGTGCAAGATGTAGTAAAGAGGCACTAATACCCATTTGATCTTCAGTATGCTTTTACATGGTGCTGCAGCACGTTACCTGTTTTTAAGGATGGAACCTCTACAATGACATGGCTGATGTTAGTCTGTAATCTGCCAGCTCCTTGAAAACAAGGGTATTCTCCTTTTTTGCTTTTTTACGCTTACTTATATTTTGTAGATTGTAGTGTATAATGTTAAGAATCAGTATGAAGCCCAGTGCAGTGGGGATGAATGAGGGGTACTTATGTGGCACTGGAAAATTAAATGACTTTTCCAAATATCTATCTAATAGGTTTCTAATGCTAATTGTACACTCTTTTTAATTCTGTGAAGTAAATATACTATCACTCCAGGCTCTAAAAAGAATGCCAATCGACCATATCTTTAACCTTTAGAATCTTTAAAAGTACTTAGGGACTTGCCAGCTTTTTTTTTTTTTTTTTTGAATCAGCTATGAGTTTGAAGTTGGGTAGGACTCCATATGGACTCCAGAAAAGAGGAGCTCTGTTCCAACCTCATTTATCAATCTCATCAAGGCAAAGATTCTTTCTGCTCATCCTGTCTACCTGGGTGGGATAGATGGAAAGTGGGTGGGGAAAGAACTACCTCTGCACTGAAATTTTGAGAACTTGGTACTCTGGGGTGCAAATGTGAAGGAGAGCCAGTGGTGAATTTCCCATACATGAGAACCTTCTGCCCATGCAGAGTGGGCTCACCATCGAAACTGTGAAAGAAGTGTGCGTGTGTGGGAACCATGCCAGAGCACATGAAAAGCAGGGTCTCCCACCTGACCTCCAATTCATATGATCTTCTAGTGGCACAGAAAATAGCAGAAAGGAGGAGGAAGCAGCTGGGGACCAGGCCCTATGAGCTCAACAATTCATGACATTGGGATTGTATTTTGTTGCTTGAGCCCATTTACCTTGTCTCAGAGAGATGCTCAGATGAATGCAATAAAGTATTTTGTCTCACAGGTTGGCACCCACCTCATCTGCCTCTCTCCATCAGCAGTCCATATCCTCAGGAAACTCAGAATCAGAATTGTGTCCTACACAGCATGAAACAGCTCATAAACATACTCCAACAAAGAAACCCCGGCATCATATTAGACACTCCTTGTTTTCCGAGTTGGGGAGACAACATGGTGACAAAACAGCAGAATACAAATTCTAAGGTGCCCTGATCCTGCAATTTTTCATCAGGGCCAAAAGTAACACTCGGTATCAGACAGGCAAAGTTTTTTTCGTCCCTACCAGTTTCTTAGCACTGATTTCGGTTTCGCACTGACAACAGCAAAACAGCACTTAAATCACAGCCCTGAGAACCAGCTACACGTATCCAAAGCTGAGCAGAGTTCAAACCTCAGCCCTGTGCTGATACAGAGTCTTTTCTGTTTTAAATTGCCCACCCACTCACTATTCCCAGCTGCCGAGCCACATAACGTTCAAAGACCACACACAAGGTGCAAGAGCAATAGGGGCCTGTTGAAAATTAAAATGCAACAGCTTAGTCAAGAGGATAGACTCCAGCATTGCTGCCTAAAAAATGGAGACAAGGAATAAGGACGAAAGGGCAGACAGGACTGTGGGAGATCCAAACGGAAAGTGATGGGAATCTACACTGGAGTGTATTTTGCAGAAATCCCCTACCCTCAGCTCACAGGGATTCACAAAGCTTCCCATATGAAAGCAGGTAAGAACCAGATCAGAAAAAGTGTTGCTGTTTTCCAGAAGCTAGACATGATACTAGGGTCCCAGGGTTTGTTCTCGGCTTGGCTGGAAGCACCTGGAGCAGGCCAAAAAAAAATGTCTCTGTGCCTTATTTCCCCTTCTTGAGCAAGTGTCAAGAGCCTCACGCGAATGTTTTGCTATCTCCTACAGCCCCCAACAAACAAAAAACCTGATTTCTTCTCTCCAGTGCTGCTGTTGAAGGGACCTTGCTCTGAAGTGCACTCATTTGAATGCCGTATAGTAGTGTCACTTAGTCCTCTTCATCCCATTGTAAGAGCACATTGCCACTGAAAAATAGAGAATGTTGCTATCCCACTCAGTGATGACACAAAGGCAGAAGTGGGTCAGCACCATCACATGTCACAGTGTGGGACATGTGTCACAGCAACCCCACTTTTAGAAAAGAGTGTGGCCCCTTGTTGACTTCTAGGCTGGGACTCGCAGGGTCTGAGGCAAACTGGTGAAAATAGACATTATCCTGAACATATCTGCTCAGATGGCTGAGTTTGGTAAGAGTTTTTCACAGACTGTCCACCTAAAAATATTTTTTAAACATTCTTAAGTTTTGTCCAGTTGCTTCTATATAGAAAGAATGTGTGTTTATATGTTTATACATCCAGATTTTGTACTTCATTGCTAACCAAGGCCGAATACTCCAAGGCTGAGTCAAACTACTCTAAATATGGGCTATTTTATCCATCACTAAATTAAATGGCTTTACTGCTGAGACAAGGCAATGTTGTAACAGCACACAGCACAGCACAGCAGTCAGAACAAGAAACAACGAAGGTGGTTTCTGACAGAAAGCGCTCAGGGTGTTTGAAGAGGCAGACTGCCAGGGCTCTACAGGTGTCATCCTGCTCCCTAGTCCTCAGCTGGGACAGCAACTCAGGAGAGATGAAAGGAGGAAAGATGAAACACAACATGCCATGAACTTTCTCACTGCAACGCTGATTACTGCTAGCGAAAGAAAGCAAGCTAAGGAGGCACTGGAAAGAAAGGCTTAGTCGAGTACCCCATACCAAATACTCCGAGATGGTGATTTGAACCCAGAACCACGTGGTAGTATGTGTGCCTGTAATGATCTAAACTAGAAGCACAGACACAAAAGTGCTTGCAGCATTGTCAGGCTCTTTCATTTGGTCCCTGATTTGGACTTCAGAACATGTGCAACAATAAACAGAGCAAAAGGTACCAAGACCGGAATTTCGGTAGTTAATGCTGTTGCTCTATTAGTTTCACTACCTTCTTTTAAAAAAATGGGAAATGTAAAAAAATATAGGTGAACATGCACACAATTTCATTCTCCTGACTCCTGTCAAAAACTTGGTGCAGAAAAAACCTTCTAGCACACAATTGCTTGCATCCAGCTTTTTGAAATATCCCACTGTGATATGTATCAACCTTTTCCTTTTGATTGATAGACTTTGCTAGGGAAACAGAAGAACAGATGTGAGTGCATGGGTGCCATCAAATGAATTTTAACACTCTTTTTTTCCTGCTCCCCCCTCCCACCCGCAGGCTTATAAAGTTATTCTGAAAGACATGAGAATCCTAAATACTGGGGGAAGGGAGAGCGGGGATTAAGGGACATCTGAAGAAGGCAGTATAAAATTGCACCGAAAGCAAAAATCCTCCCACCATAACCTACTCTTGTCCACTCCTGTGTCAACAAATATGCAACCAATTAACGTAATTGCAGAGTTATTTATGGCACACAGGAAAGTGTAGTCAGGGACCCTGAGAAACAAGGTTGTAGGGATAGGAACGCCTGGGTTTCCCCCTCACCCCCTCCTTTGCAGATGTTGAAGTTGACTTGTGGTGTCCATGTGTCTCATAACCAAGAGCCTGGCTATTTTGCAGGTGTTGCTTGCTGCATGGGGGTGGGTAAAGTGGTTGAAAGGAGGCCTGGAAAAAAGTTGGGGTCTTCTGATTTCAAACTGTGACCAAAAGATATTGATTGGGTTTAGATATCCCCCTACACACTTTGCAGCCTACAAAAGCCCCGTACTTAATCCCTTCAGATGACCCTTTCGACAGCAGCAACAACATTTGAACACAACAGGGGAAAAAAATTTCTTAGCTCCATGATTTGATTGTTCGGGGTGACAGTTTTGTTACCGTTCAGTGCCCCGCAGAAGAGAGGTTTTAATTAGAGCTATTGAGTGGTTTGAATTGGCACAATTAGGGTCAGCATTAATGATTGCTGCATGTGTTCTTTTGAACAGTAAGGGCTTTTTTTCTGCCCATGGACAGGAGGGGGTAGCAGCTAATGAACTAGGAGAGTGCAAATTATCTCTGCGAAGCTGGGGCAAGTGTAATACACACTGGGGATGAAGTGGAGAGCAGGAAGAGAGACTGCAGCATATGAGGCTCATCCAGAAGACTTCCCAGCAGAGTGCTGAGCACCATCAACCCCCACTGCTTGTCCTTTGCTTCTTTAGGTGCTGAGGCTGTATAAAGCACTGACAGAGATGCATTTCTTGTATCACAAGGGAACACCTCAGAGAGGCAAAGTATATGCAGTATTTTCATACCAAAAAATACAAAAGGAGATAGAAAAAAGGCTGCCTCAAAACAAGGGCATGCTCGTGCAAATTGGTACTCTCATGAGTAGGCTTGTAGGCTTTACCCACCTCCTTCTCAATTCAGTGGGATACTGGATCAGTTCAAAGAAACACAGCCACATAAGAGAGGAAGAGAGAGATTTGTGTACAAGCACCCCTTCTGTGTGTGTGTAGAAATGCCTCCCAAATAAACATACCTGCCTTAACTGCACTGCAGGTGGATGCCAGAGCCCAATGCATATGGCAGCTCTGCCAAAGGCTGCTCCCACTCCTGCTGAGAAAACAAGAGTCCTCACAGCACACGCCACTGACTTAAAGAGAAGACCTCCTGGGTGACATACTTATGATCTCCTCAGAACTTGCAAATCTCCTGAAATGTGCTCATTACACAATCTTTTCCTGACCCATACAGTCCATGAAGCGCTGCAGAAATGCTCTTTTATTGCAGGAGGAATACGCTCCCATGTCATTCCAGCAGAGCGCCAAAGGGGCCTCTCTTCCACATAGCTACTTATTGGGGAAGGTGCAAGTAGGTGATAGTGATAACAACCATGTGGGTGCAGGGACTGACTGGGGGCACAGGACCTACCCCACTCCTGTGAAGGACCTCCATTGCTTCTGGGCCAGGCACATTCTCCCCAAAGCATGAGCAATTTTTGCCTCAGGCCTGAAACAAATCTTTCCAAGTGCTCTCCATTTACTAAAAAAAACTTTTGGTCAGGCATTATATTAGAACCACAGGCAACCTTCTGCAACCTTCAAGGCACAAAAAGAGTTTGTTCACGTGCCAGCTGCCCAGCAGTGGAGCTCCTCTCCACTGCAAGCAGCAAGAGATGTGCAACATATACCTTTTTACTAATGGTGGAGTGATCCCTTGGTACCTGAATCAGCCTAGAAGTCCCTTCTGGGCTCCAAAATGCCTAGAGAGGGCATCACTGGCAGGGGTAACTGTAGGGCTGTCTCAGGTCTGGCAGTACCAGCTGAGTCAAATACTGGCATTGGTCTCTTGGTGTGGCCCCTGAATACCAGTGCAAGTCATCAGGCCTGCTGTAAAATGCCCTCTCTCTAATTGTCTGTAGTAGTCATGTCTCCTGAATATGACTCAAAGAACATTGTCAGGCACCATGCATCAAAGGAAAGGTTGATTCTTCAGTAAGTTTAGTTGGTAGAGCACAAGAGAATGGCATGTATGCATATGCTGTCAGAGGACTGATACATATTTTTCAGAAAACAGTTTCAGCCAAACTTTCTGCAGTCATCCCGAAGTGTGGCCACCAACACCTAACCACTCAAATTTTTGAGGCCGAGCATTAACACCAACCAAGGTTGCACAGCCCACCAGTGCCTTCATTGACAAAGCAGGTAAAACTGCATGCACAACTGGAGCAGAGAAGCTGGGTGGAATCCTGGGTGTGCAATCTCAGTTGGGAATTAGCCAAATACTTCACCTTTCATATATGCAAAGGAAGACAAAGGTGCCCAAAACATGGAGAGAATGAGACTCTTTGCTGTGGTTAAACAGAGGTTTCTGTGTCTTTCTGTTAGTAGATATTTTCAGATATTTCAGTGTCTCACTCTCTCTCTAAACATTATCTTCTCTGAAAAAAAAAATCCAATTTCTCTGGCTTTTTAAAGTAGGTAATATAAATTATGCTCTTCTTACTTAGGATACACAGTAGCCCAACATATTTAGTAAATAATTACAGGTGAAAATCTTGCCATGCAAACAGAGGTCAAACTGTTTGTGTCCAAAGAGCTCTTACTCTCTAATAGGCCCAAACCAGAAGGAGTTTAGTCTGCAACATGAAGAATTAAGAAGTGATGCTGCTGCAGTCCAGTTGGAGCCTATGGATTGATACAAATCCAATGGGCATTCACAGCTAGGATAGTCTCCTTTAGTTCTCAAGGTAGAAAAGAGTAGCCTAAGGTAGACCCATTACATTGAAGTGTGGGTTACTTACTACTCATTTGTCACATTGTGGCCTCACAAGAAGTTCTTTACCTTATTACAACCTTTTGTGGTGCTCGTGCCCAAGATTCACGAGAGCACATCTAGTAAAGGATCTTTACCCAGGTGTGCCAACCTCCAGGGCACAAAGAGCCCAGCAGTGCCAGGTAGAGCTCTGCTGCTGCCAGCAGGAGCTGGAATCAAGCAGGTGGACGGTAGGAGGGTGAGAGCAGAGCTGCAGCAGTGTGGCCCTCTTGGGAGAGAGCAGCATGGCTGCAGGTATCTTCATCTCGCCCAGCACTCCTGAACAGAGAAGATATCCCCCTGCCCTGGTTCCACTGGGGCTCAGCAGAGGTGCAAAAATGAAGTGCTGGGGGAAGGGCAGAGACACAAGGAACACCTCATGGCTGCTTTCACCTCCTCCTCCCAAGTCTGTCTCATAAGGACTTCAACTGTTCCCACAGCCAGCAATTTGATTTGGGCAGACATCCAGCATTGCTTAGCAGATCCAAAATGACACCTCACACATTCTTGAAGGTGTGAAAGAAACAACCAAGCTGAATCGTTTCACCACCCTCACGGTACTAGAGGTGATACCATAGACTTGCCAAGGAACATAGAAGGACATCCACAAACATTTCATGACCACCTTCTTTGAGCCTGCTTTGTTATTGAACAGCCATGAGTTTTGGCATTAGCTGGAAAACTGAACATACAACTGCTCAGACAGGCCCTCTGCCTTGACTTTCTTATCATATATCCTCAAAAAGGTAAGACTTTTCAGTAATTATTTATATTTATGTCATCTAATAAATATATTAATAGTCCTCATATGGATCATTTGCAAGCAAATAATAATGCTGCAGGCTGGAGGATGGGGATAGGGCTAGCACTGCAGGCACCAACCTGCCAGCTGGGCCCTGGCCTGAGGTTAAGCTACCTGGAAAGATTCTGAAAGCTAGCAGGCAAGAGAGTGGATGTGATGTGGAAAGCTGAATGTGAGAGGGAATATTATGAGAAGCTGGCAAAAGCTACAGGTGGTGCTGTGAGGGCTAGCTGGATCCCTCATGTGGTTAAGGGGAATGTGTGTGAGCAACAGCCGAACTACACAGCTGGAGTGGAGCACTGGGGACATTCTGGGAAATAGGACCAGTAAGCCTGGTAACCATACCCATAATAGCACATAAGTCTGAGATAACCTGGCTAGCAGTGTCAGAAATAACAAACTCGGGAATGGATATGGCAAAACTAGGACTAAAGAGGGAAAAGTAATTAGGTGCAGGTTGTCTCTCTTGATTGAGGAATGGAAATGGAGACACAGGGTGGCAAAAAGAGACATCAAGAAACACAGAAATGAATATTAAGATATGTAATTTCATGTGTCTGGGCATATTTGTCAAGCAGCCCTAACGCTTGACCACTGCAGCTGGAGCCAGACAATGAACCAAACCCTGTGTTTCTTGGCCATACCAGCAGAAGCAGACCTGCTTCCACCCCAGGCAGAGGACAGGGGTTGGCAGTGCAGGGAGGAGCTTTCACTTGCTGTCAAGTAAACATCGGGACAGACAGATTGAGCATCCCAGCATAACCACTTTGGTGACTGTTCCAGATCAGATGGCATTAGCAACAGCCCACCACTGTGTAACAGATAGGATTTCAGATTTTTTGGGGTTTTGTTTTCAATTCAGTTCATACAAATAAACTACTGGCACCAAAGAAGGTGCCTTGTTTACCTTCAAACTCATGGTCTGCACTCAAGTGTCTTCCAGGAAAATAATTTGCATTGCATCTCCCCTGCCTTAGTGCAGGCATTTGATTAGGAAATACAAAATATACTCTTTGAAGTGATAGTTAGCAGTTCTGCAAGCACTCCCAGCAGAAGATATAAGTGCAGATTTCAAAAACTTGTCAGGAAAAAGCAAGTTACTCAGAATTTACTTCATCTGAACTTTGGCTGAAGGTTTGATATCGACTTATTATACTGAAATTAGTCAGCTCATCTCCAACTAAAGAGAAATATATTTTGTATTCAAGCTCTACAACATTTCATTCACTGTACCTCAGATCACCCACCAGCCAGCAGAGACTTGGCTTTTCGTAATTTCCCCATCTTGGTGTTGCCATACCACTGCATTTCTGTGGTGCAGCCACACCAGCACTACTTGTGAGCAGACCAGCTAAGAAAAGGTGATGAATGACCCTGTGGAGATTAAGCTGTGAAACATCTCTCACTGGCCTGAATACTGAGCACTGAATTTACCCTCACAGCCTTTTCTCCATGTTCCCAGGTCTCCTTCCCCTGGCAGGTCCAGGGTTTGTCCTAGCTTGGATCTCATGTAGAGAAGCCAGTAGCCCTGTGCACCCAGAGTTTCAGCTCTTCTTTCCTAAGGCAGACGGCTCCATCTCACTTTAGAGCTCCTGTTTCATTGCCCTCTGCTGTAACCTCTTTTGAAGGCATCTTTTGCTCCAGCCTCACCACAAGGAAAACAAGTTACTCAGATTCTGTATCTAAGAGTACTTTGGAAAACTCCATGTTGCCCAGACATTTGCAGGGGGCTGAAAGAAGCTAAGTATTTTGCTGAATACTCTCCTCTTGAACAGAAACATGTGCAAACCTGGACTCCATATCATCAGATTCATCAGATATGCTAACCAATATCCACTGCAGAAGTGTTTGTGAGAATGAAGAGAATGCTGGGGGCCCTTAGCAGAACTGGGAAAATGAACCACCATTAAGAACTCTACACAGTTTGAACTATTGATCCAGTTGACTTCTTATTTAATTGTAAGCAAAATCTGCTTTGCCACCCTGGAGTTTTTATTCCTCACTGTTATAGAGATTTTTCAATATTATTGCCTTGGTTTGGGGGAAGAGTACATTTCTCTTTTTGTCCCATCAAGCTACATTCTCACATTAAAAAGAAATGTCAAGCAGCCAAGTTGATTTTCAGCTACATCTGCCTCCAGAGCAGACCTCTTCCCCTAGTTAACTAGTGGGATGGATCATAAGACACGGCTCAGGAGGCTTTGGAGTCTAGGCTTGATCAACAAGCTGACAGTCCTGAAAAAGGGCAGCTGATGTCAGGTAAAAGCAGTAAGAAGAGCAACATGAACTGCACTATAATTTTAGGAATACCATCAGGAATTCTGATGTAAACTGTTCAGATTTTTGAAGGTAAATCCACCACTCAATTCACAGTCACAATAAGCTTGTAAGTAAGGGTTTCTGCAGCATGGAAGGGCAGTAGATCCTCCCACCTGCACCATAACTTGACCGGCACCTTTGCAAAGGTCACAGTGCCCAGAAGCCCAGCCCCTTCACCACCACCCTGGTCAGGCTCTGATCCCATGCTTGGTAACACAGACAGCAATAGAGCTGGCTGGAGAAGAGGTAAATCCATGTGCAGTTTCTAAACTTTCCAGAGCCCCTTCTTGCTCTGATTTCTCATCAGGACTGAGAACCTCTGCACTAGTCAGAGATCCTTACAAGAAAGAGCAATTTGTCACCACAGGAGCATATTTTGTGTGCAATATCAATTTAGCATGGTGTGAAGATTCTGTAGAAATTGGAGCTAGAGCTATGGTATTAAGTTTAACACAACTGACTGGGGACCCACATCCTCACCTTCTTCAACTGTCCCATTTTCACTGCCTGCAAATTACTTACCTTCCCTTAGCCCCATCTCCTCCACTCTTGAACTAACACAATTCAACAATGCCTTTTTTGGTTCTATAGCAGCTAGTGGCTTAAATATAGTACAAGTGAAGATCCAGTGATCCAACTGTAAGTACAAATGAAGAACATTTGTTGGGTCCTCTGGCTGATGAAGTATTGCAGCCTTACTGAGAAGCCAGTCTTTGTAGGTATATCAGGGTACAGTTAGCCCCTAGTGTAGGATATAGAGAGCTTACCTGGAGACAGTCCTGCAATAGTCCCTAGCTCAGGTGTCTGTGGAGCTGATTTCTTTGGCTCCTGCAGACCTCTCCCTTCCAGTGGATAAATTACCAACTATGTAACTGGTGAGCACATTATTCTTCCTTGAAAAGCAAAATTGGAAAGATGAGCAAATATCTCTCAAAATAATAATTAAAAAACCCCCACAAACAAACAGAAAAAGACTTTAAAAGAATGAGGACCACTTGGCCCTGAGAAACAGCCATACTGCAGCAAATGCAACACCCTCTTCTGAAAACTGCAGAAAGCCAGTATCTTGGAATTTGTCTGGGGCAACAAAGCTAACTCACTCTGCTGGAAAATATCACATTCATCTTGGCAAGAACAGCCATTACAGAATTAACTTAGTTCTGATGGTTTTTAAAAGAACTACCTTGTACAGTTCATAGGAAGGAAGTCCTTTCAGCATACAGTTTCACAGGGATAGCTGCACTCTGAGAGGGCAGATATCTTGGTGTGGGGAGGCAGGAACATTTGGGGGAGCAGACCAGGGGAAGGAATTCTAGTAGCACTGATCATCATTTTTGGAAACAGCAGTCAGTCAAGCAGATGGCAATGAAGCAACTGTTGTTCATCTCTGCTGATGGCATGTCCGATAAGTGAGGTGCTGAACACTCTGGAGTCACAGAGAGAATTGAGATGAATGGCTTCAGCGGGTATCCTGCTCTTAGGAAACTTGTTAGGCAGGGAGAGTCCCAGCTCAAGAGCTGCAGGATTGCCCTGCATAAAGCCTACGCCGTTGTTTCTTGTTTCTTATGAATCTAGATATCACTGGGCTTAACAGCAAATAAATTTTGCTCTTCTGCCAACATTTTAACTGAGCATATAACCTTTCCCACATAGTCATTGCTGTGATTTACCAGAGAAATCAACTACAATTGCCACAATTAGGACAAAAGGCATAACTTCCACCGCCAACGCATGGAAATTCCCTGTGTGACCTCAGCCCTTCAATACCCCTTGAAGGCAGTGATAGCCACCATCAGACTTTCCTCAAAAGGATGCCGAACTAGTCTGTCACAAACGTGTGGGCTAGTGAGCAAAATAAGTAGCTAATTTTCCGACAGTGACTAAGTGCAACTCTGAATCTGAGGTGTGATTTGTCCTGGGTATACTGGCCTTCAAGGTTTCTGTGATGATATTTCGTGTCCCGTTCTCACCACCTATTTAATCTCTCCAACGGGAAACAGCCCAGGAAGGGGCTGGTCCATCCTGCCTCCCACACAGATGTCTGCACTGCCAAATCAGCACCAATGGCAATACCCTTTTTCATCACCAGGCCAGCAAGAATTCAACCTCACCTTCACATCCATAGGTACGTTTACATAGGTACTTTTATTTTTGATGCATTATTGGAGGCCCAAGCCTTTGGGCTGCAGTGATCTTGGGAGGGACTGCAAAGCTAAGAATCTCAGCAGGCACCTACACAGCACCCCTGCCATGCTGCCCAAGTCACAAGACAGGCAGGGAAAGGATTTCCAGCAAAGAAGAAAAAGCATAACAGAGTCCGGCAGAGGCACTGGTATTCATGGTAGTCCTCATCAAGTTCTATCCTTCCCCTTGCATCATTCTCGTGAGTGGGAAAAGACATCAGTAACGTAGTCTACTCTCTGCACATAACTCCTCTTTTTGGATGCAGAGGGCCAGGCTGGCACATGGAACATAATTTAAGAGTGTCTAACCTCATGCTTGGTAAATTGGGCCCATTATACAACCCCTGTCTGTATCACTGTACATATAGAGTATATATTGATGAAGTGGAATTTTGCATGCTGAAGAACATCCATATGCTACGCAGGAGATATTTCCTGTTCTCAGTGCTGCTGTGTCATTAACTTCCCTGCTTGTTTTGACTGTTTATCTCTCAAGCTGAAGTGTCTAGACAACTAGAAAGTGACAACTAAGAAAAAGTCATTAATACAAACATCACTAATATTTATGACATTCTGAGAAAAATATTCCGCAATGCATTGCCTTGTTTTCCACATAGCTCAGTAAGGACTAGGGTGCCTTGGAGTTCTATTCTGCTTCAGCTCTCTTCCATTTTCCTCCAAGCAGCGAGGGCGCCTCAGAGCAATGAGGATTTTCTGGCCCTTTAACAATCCCCTTGTCCGCCAGACTTCCTCCTTTCATAGCCCCCATGCGCTCCCTCCCCTCTCCCCCAGGGCTAGTTAATATGTGCCAAATCCTGACACCCTGAATGGTTTCCCAACGCCGACACTAATCACGTTTTCGGGAGCAGGTCAGCAGTGAAGGAGCTGAAATTCGTGTGAAAAAGTCCCCGGGATGGCCCCGGTGCCTCACACCTGCATGCCCTATTCATCTGCAGTGTTTACACATTGTCATCCACAATTAATTCTTTCCAGGGACGCTCCACTGCCTGCCCTCCCGTTGCACAGGGACCCCATTCTGAGCTGTTGTGTCTGTTAAATTGAGCATGGGGTGCTGCGATTAAATTAAGTTTTGTGGCGCTCTCTCTCTCTCCCTCCCTCCCCTTCCCTTTTCTCTCTGTTAATAATGATGCCTGATGGAAGATTGCTGGCACTGGAGTAAAGAGGTAATTACAGGCACTAAAAGTAGGGAAAGAAAAATTTCTATGTGGAAATGTGAATGGGGACATCTTTTCTAGCTAGCCCTCGGTGCGAGGTGGGAACCGCAGCCCTGTGCAATGTCCAGGGTACAAGGAGGAGAGGAAGACGCGGGGGCACACACGAAGATCTCCCACAGAGCAAATGGGCAAAATTTGGATCTGTGACATTCTTTACGCACTGGCCTGAATACAAGTTTTCTTCAGCAAGTGACATTCTCACTTTCTACTACAGCTATGTTTGTGCATATATGTAGCATACACCAGCTATGGTATCTTCTCCCAAGATACCATACCCAAACACACCAGGAGAAATTCCCTGGCCTAACGGGCTAGCAAGTCTCCTCACGCTGGCACACTTCTGCACTGTTGAGTAAAATGAGTAAAACGTGGAATGAGAATAGCTCACTGGAGGTGAGGAGGAAAACAAGAGAAGAGGACAGAAATTTGACCAGCTTCTGCAAAACCTCAAGGCAGCAGCTTTTTTTTCCAAGTGTTTTACTTGTGCATGAAGTGGACAACAGGTTTTTATTACTCAGATGTCTTCAAAGTCAAAGAGCCATTTTTGTTGAGAACATGCAACTTTCCAAGCAAGTGTAGTTGGGTGGATTTGGCTTTATATCTTTTTTCAGCCACTTGCAGGACTCAATACCACAAGCAAGAAGGGCACTACCGTGGTAAGAAGGACAGAGCTCAGACTCTTCCAGCCAACAGCCTGGACTAGAGCTACAGCCAAGCTAAAGAACAGCCTCTGTTTTCTCGTGTCAGACACACCAAAAAAAAAAAAAAAAGACACGAGAATTGCCTGAAGTTCTGAGGCCCCAATATCCAAGACACACATAACACATAACAAAATTAATTGACTACAAGCACAGTCTTTTATGTCTCAGCAAATAGCAGCCTCTCTGATTTTTATCCTGTGCAAGAAAATTGCCCCTGCAAGACAAAAATCTTCATGTTGGCAATTATAGAAACAGCCTCCTTATAAACACCACTGTAAAATATTGTTGCATGCATGTATGAAATGTGCTGGAAAGCACGTGCTACATCCCCCTCTAGTGCTGAACTACTACAGAATAACAATCTAATCCTGCTACTGCTTTCTTCAGGTGGAGCAGAGACTTTTCTGCAACAATCCATATTTAAAATCCAGAAAAAACCTCAAGGGTGGCTGCCATATATGAAGGCATCTTTATGGGATGATTACAGAAGATGGATTCACAGGCGCTGAGAAGTCCAAGAGTCCTTAACATGAACAAGGCTTTAATACCTCCTAAATACCAGTGAGCATCCAAAGTAAATCTGTTTTGTTTTACAAGTCTCATTCATTTTGTGTTTCCTCTTAAAAGCTAGGGAGCTGCATACATCACACACCTGATCAACACACAGCCCATTGCATCACAAGTCTTTAGTGCTTCATAACAAGTATTACCTGAGGAAATGCTCTCCAAGAGCACCAGCTGTATATATATATATATATATATATTTATTTATTTATTTATTTATATTTATATATATATATACCCTCCCAATCATCCTCCATCACAGCAGCCGTGGTCTTGCAGGCCTTACTCAGGTAAGGGGCCTGGCCAAGTCAGGCAGGGAGCACCAGCTTTTATCAGCTGCCTGTATCCTACGGCGTCATCATGTCTCACTTCCTGCACCTACAGGGACAGTCAGGTCTGACACGAGGTCATAGCAGCCCTATGGTTCTGCAAAGTACGTGACAGCTCATAGCAAAGGCATTCCGACTGCAAGTCTCAGTTCTCAAGCACGCATGGCAGTGTGTGTTGCATGTCACAGACTCACCCCATGCTTGGTGATGCAGAGCTCTTCAGGTGGTCAGTCTGCATTTACTTTGCATCCCACTGTGGGATAGTCTCAGCTTGTTAGTAGGAGAGGGAGGAAGCCAGAGAGCAGTCAGGCATCAAGGAATTCAGACCCAAAGAAGGTCCCGGGGAGGTTGAAGAGAACAAAGACAGGCTGGCTTCAGCAGCTTACCTGAGTCAGGCTGGGCAGAGACCAGGATTTACAACCAGCATGGGCAGCAAACATTGCTCTAGCTGACATCCTCAACTGGACATGGGAACAAGGCAGCACACACAACACCAGCACCATGCTCCTCCTTTCACCCTTCCTCACCCAGACAACAGACCCTGCTTATACTGTCCTTCCAACCTGCTACTACAGGCACAAAGCACACAAACTTTAGCAAAAGCCTCCAAGGCCTTCTAACAAAACCACAGTCACTCAGCAGAGAGGAGCAGCTGAGCCAGGAGGCTCCCTGTACCAACAAGCCATGCTGCACGACCAGCTGTAAGCACTCTCTGCCTCCCCTCTGTATTCAGCCTCAAGGAGAACTAAGCACAATCCTTCTTTCCAGATGGGTAAAACCTGCCAAAAATCAGCTGAACATAGGTCTTTACAATGGAGGCATTTGAGTAATCTCAGTGGCAGGTGTTGGGAGCAGCCCTGCCTACGAAACGTGAAGCAAAGGCTCATACTTAAATTATTTCCCTGCAGCAGAACTACTAGTACACTTAGTAATGTAACTATCACAAAACCTGCAAGCTGCCTACCGACTTTTCCTCCCACTGAAAACAATGAGAGTGGAGGATGTTCAGTAAATTATACCACTTGCCCAGTTAATAAACAATTCATAAAATTATGCATGGTTTTGAAGTGCTCTATAAAAATATATTAATCAATCATTAAATAATTAAGATAACTCTCTGTTCTTTTTCTCTGGCACTCCCAAGTTGATGGATGTTCCTATAGCAACAGAGGAGCAGGACTGAGGGCAGGGGGAATGCAGGGCTCAGGAGGCGATGCTAGCGCAGGACCTTTGCTCTCCAGCCCTCCAAAAGTCATGCAGGGCAAGCGGAAGGGGGCTGCGAGAGGTGACATGCAGGAAGGAGGCTTTCAATTTTAATGGAGATTCTTACGATGACAGTCTATGCAAATAGGTACATGAAAGAGGAGAGGAAACAGACTGGGGGAAGGGGGAGAGAAATTAACCCTGGTTCAGATTTCAAAGCAAAGCCAGGAATAATTTTTGGAGCTAAGAATAGTTGCAATGCACCTTGTTCTCCCTGGGTTTGAGCCCTGCATAATTCTTAGACTCGGAGTCTGAAATTACAGCCGGGAGGGGGAGGGAAGCCAGACTGCACAGTCCAGGAAACGCCGCTGTCCCGGCTGCAGCTTCATCACCTTTATGGTTCTTTTGTGTCACCAAAAGGCACTATTTAACAAAGGAGCTGTCCTTTTGCTTTTGCAGGGCCATTGCAGTTGTTTTGCAAATGAGATTGCTTGATTGCTGAGCAAAATCAGAGATCTTTTGAAGCTGTTGCCCAGGAAAGGGGGAGGGCAAGGGATTCAATTATCCCTCACAGAAAGTCGTAGGACCTGCCTGGTCTTATAGAGAGCTGTTGAGAATGAGCCAATGCAACTTTTGAATTTACTTTTAGGTAAAATTCATGAGAAATCCCAGGAAGACCCTACAGCCACTTCCAGAAAAGAGAGGAGTCTGCTGAATTGCCAAGAGAAACTCCTGACCCTATTGCAGCCCACTCACCTTCCTCAGAGACAGCCAAGCCAGAGGCTGCCCCGGCCCCAGCTAGCCTCTGAGAGGATGAGTGGGGATCTTTAGCTTGTCGGGAAATCTGCCCGACCGACACTAAAGGGCAGCTCTGTCGCTAAGTCCAGGGGGCCAGTCTGCAGACCCCCAGGAGCTTATTGGTGTAGATCAGATCGCGTCAAAACCTATGCAGGCACTCACTGGGTGACCTTTTTAATCAGAGCACAGCTTCTGCAACACAAAAAGTGCCTCTGGGAATTCAGGGATGCTGCTGACAAGAAATGGTGTTTTGTGGAGGTGATCTGGAACGGAGCGCTTTGCTTCAACTGTCCCAAAATTTTTCATTTCAATTGAGTTTAGCATTGAAATGAATTTTCCCGAAAAGGCCTCTCTTCTTTCCTGTGCATGGGGCTTGCGGCTGAGCTGCATTCACTGAGAACAAAATGGACCTGGCCCAAGCTTCATGGGAGCTGGGCAGAGCTCCCAGGGAGCACAGCCCAGAGGAGAGAATGGGACCCAAACCCAAGGAAAGGCGCTGCCTACTTTAATGTTAAGCAGACTCGAAACTAAATGTTTCATGTCAGTTCAACAAATTGAAACAAAACATTCCTACCTCACAAATGTCAAAATGCTTCACTTTGATCCAAAAAATGTCAAAACGGAACATGGAAACATTTCTGAACATGACTGTTTTAATTCCAGGAAACAATTTTTCCTGGTTTTTTGCCACAGTTTGCTCTGTTCTGAAAAACAGAAATTCAGAATTTCACAAAGCTTCACTTAGAGCCATTTATCACAGGAGGGACCAATATTGCATATACACGCGTGTGTGTGTGTGAACACTCTCATTCACATGCACAGCACATCCACTGTGCCTTTCCCTTGTGGCACTTCGGGACTCTCTCCAGGCTGATTTCACCACCCATATAGCTGCTAGGCCTCCAGCCCCATCACCTGAGGATGCTCTTCAGTCTGTAGAAGGTCCCATGTGCCTGGGAATACCCAGTACAAGTGCACTGGATTGCACAAGCAATGGATGTCCACAAGATACCTTAAAAACAGAATGTTTAGGGCTAGCACTGCCATCACTACCATCACCACAGAGTTCGCACACAATCCAGGTCCCTTTAGATTCCTCCTATTCTCAATCAGGGCTGACACAGGCTTTGGTCTGACTTGTTTCAGACCTCATAGTTTGGTGATGATGTGATTAACAAGAAACTGGTTTGAATAATCTCCTTGTTTGAGAAGCAATGTTAAAACCAGCACTTACTTAGAGAAAAGAGGGAAGGGTTTAGAAATTTCACAACTTTCATATAATTTGACCAGTAATGTTAATCTATATTCTGATGATCCTGTCCACTGAGCATGGTTAAAAACACGCTAATATGGAGAAAGGTGACATGCTCTTAATCATGTACTGCATGCCCAAGGTGGATCCACGTGTCTATTTTTGCTTCAGTAGATGAGATCCTAATGCTGCATCCAGTAACAGTTTGATGACTTTGTATGGACACTACTTTCAGTGTTCTTGCCATGCAGCTGAAGGCTACAAACATGGCTGGCTGTGTCACTGGCCCCTTGGAGAAAGTGCTCCCATTTTCTGTGCCAAGAAGCAGCTAAACCAGGGAACAAAGTCTTCCCCTGTGCTCCTCCCATGCCTACCAAAGTTTTCTGGCTGTTCTGTTTATCCATTTGCTTAGGATATCCCTCTTCTTTCAAAAAGCTAAAAGACATCCTAGAACATCTTTGTACATTTATTTTTCACAGTCTTTCAGTGTTGATTTTGGCTCTACCACGTGTTTCCAAAGAGGGTCCCTTGGTGCCAGGTCCTATCTTGTTTCTACAGGTGAAATGTCCTCATAGGGGTACACTATAGCTCTCTTGCACAGTGGGATAGCTGACATGAAAAGATTAGCCACATATACCTTAGCCCTCCAAACCAAACTGGCCAGGAATGGGGCTTCACAGTCCTCTCCTGCCAGACTCTCAGCATCTCCTGCCTAGGTTTCCCTGCTATAGACCAATCTTTCCATGGTGCCTCCATATTGGGGAACCTTTCTGTATCTTGGTCTCTTCCTTATTGGGGGAAAAAAATCTTCTTTTAAATATTTCCCCACCAGCATTTCTGCAAAAGCACCTCTCATCATCCCTGGACACACAATGTTCTACCAGGAAATATATTTCTCATTTTGTATAAATAACCAATAATAATTCATTCTGCTAATTCTCTGATTCTCTCCAAATCTTCCAAACTCATTCACCCTCTAAGCATGTAAAAATAAACTGCAGGAACAATTCATATTGCATCTACAGCTAAACACTCTCTTGGGTTCCACTGTTGCCAAACAGTACTCTTCAGACTCATTCCCTGTGGGTTGGCAGTAGCTCAGGGCTTGAGGCTCTCTGAGGCTTGGATCTGATGCAAAATCAGTCTTCTTGCTGAGACCTTGCAGTTTCTTCACAAGGCTTTTGCAAAAACCGAAAAGAACATCCAGAAGACCTTATCCATCACTGGGCTGTCCTGGGCTGAGAGAGAAGAGTGGATCTGAGACAGGCTGTCTTTCAGGTAATGATCGTTGCCACCTCCTAGAAACAGCTTGCAGCAGCCTTGCCAATTGCTGAGTTTCATCCCTAAATATAGGAAGGCTTTAGGCTTTAAAATATGATGCAGATGAGTAAGAGATCTTCCTTTTAGGGATAAAAGTGTAGCAACACTTTGTGGAAGCAGTATATCACCTTTGAGAACCAAGGCATGCATTGTTTTAAAAATAGAAGAAAATAAGATAAAATAAAGAATAACCAGAGAAACAGAGAAAATTGGTGTGTAGGTTATGTTCCAAAAGCCTCCCCAGTGAAGCTTCAGAAGTGCTCTGTTGCCATCAATCCCTTTGAAGATTATTTCAAGGCTGTACTAATATGTGGATCTTGAGTGCAGCTGTTAGCATGGGCACATATCTAATCAAAGGGGCCTAATTATGTATATTACCCAATTTGACAGTTAGGGAGCACTTCAATGATGATTCTTCTGCTTGTCTGACAAATAACATGATTATTCAGTAAGCTACATATATTTTAATATTGAATTTTTGTTCTTTCATAAGTAATTGTCTAGCCAACCAAAAGTGCTTTTCACTTGTGAAGTCATAGCCAATATTAGCAACCAGATTCAATTAATTATGTTTAATAAGCTAATAAATATATTTAGGACTCTTTGTGCTATGCTCAGTCACCTTTAGAAAACATTTCATCATTAGTCACCAAAAAATGAAGTGTTCTCTTTTTTTCAAGGATGTCAGCACTTTAAAAACTTCAGTTTAACATTATAAATTAAATGCAATTTGCTTTAAAAATAGATTTTAAAATTGATGCTTGTTTTTAGCTTTAAGACTGAAAACAGATTCTTTATATATGTCTCGGATTTATGGGAGAAGCAAGGAATTTTTCAGGAACATGTCAGAAATAAGTTGGTGGTGCTCATTCTTAGGGCCTCACTATATTAAAAATGTGTAGAAGACTGCTGCTTCTCCCACCCTGCTACAATGCTCCCCAGCACAAGCAGAAAGCAAGGTTTTTCCTGTGACACCTGAAGAATGAAGGAGACTGCCAGCAGAAGGACAGTGGGATGGGTAGTGACGAAGGTTGCAGAGCTGAGCCATGCTTTAAATCATCCGTGACAATGAGCTGGGAGACATGACAGGAGCCTGACAGACTTGGGTCAAGGTCTTGAGGAGATGAGCAATCCTACCTGTGCATACAACAATTTGCTTTTCTCCTCTGTCTTTCTGCCAACTTTACTCATCTATTGTTCTCATAAGTATATTCAGGAAAAGGACTGAGAAAGGCCCCTCTGGAATCATTGTTTTACCTTCCATCCCCATCGCATCCACACAGCTGCCAGAAGGACACATGGTTAGGAGAACCTGCCAGTTTGAGCAGCCTTTTCCTTCCTTTCATCCATGCACTGAAAGGATAATGTGAGAAAAAAGAGACCTTGTAAGTCATCAGGTGACCAGAAGCACATCACCTTCTGTGCTTTTCTTCCCATGACAAGGATTCCTCAAGTCTGCAAGAGAGAAATATGCAAAGCATGGAGTTGGGTACGGGAATGAACCAAACTCTTGAGCTGCAGGGGAACTGGTGTAACAGAACAGGAAACCACACAAACTGTGAGGTGTCTAGTCAAGACTAGCAATAAAAAAGTGTCTCTACCAGAGTCAGTGATGAGTAGGTAGGACCGAGGCAAGAGGACTGAGGAATTACTCAACAGGATGAACCGTGTGATGTCCAGATGAGACATCACTGATACCAGCACAAGTCGTGGCCTATTGGCTTTGGCAAAATTCTTTTGGAAACTCATTGGCAAAAACAGCTGCTGATCAGGGGAAAGACAAGAACCCTCTTTTCCAGCCCCAGTGTGGACACGTGAAAGACCCCTAAGTCAGCACCAGTTGCCCACTGTCATCAGCATGAGTACCCTGCCCCAACCACCAAAGAGGTGGGTCTGCAAGGGCACAACTCAGCTAGTGCTGTGTTAAGTGGTCCTGCTCCATCTGGTCAACTAAAAAGTGAGTGAGCCAGTATGACTGGAGTTTGCATGGCTGTCAGTGTAACACCCTTTATGTAAAATTGAAGCATTAATAATAAACCACATAATAGTAATTGGAATACAGGTATCCTAGTAAAAGATGGGAGTGTATCATTCAATATTCCCCATATTGGTTGTCATCTGATTCAGCCAGCAGTCTCTGTGCAAATCAATCATGAAGTTCCCAGCCTCAGTCACTCTGTGATACCAGGCCTCCTCTCCCTCCCCTAGCACCCCACATCATTAAAAGTAATTAAACTCCTGTCCTGTGTCCAGGTGTCACAAGACACCCAGTAAGTCTCACCTTTAACTACACACTTGGATGTGCTGAAATAGCAGCACTGCAGATGCTGCCTCTGGGGCTCAGCCTGCTCCCACCAAAGCACTAGGTGAACTGCTGGCAGGGCACCCCCAGCTCTGCTTGGCTTCCCAGGGCACAGTAGGGGGCTGCAAATGAATCAGCAGTGCCCCACTGCAGGTCAACACACCCAGCTATCTGTGTTTTCCCTTGTTTGTCAATTTCCATCAGCCTTTATTTTCCTCTAAATCTCTTTGGGGTACCAATTAATCCAGAGGGTTTTCATTTACTCTGGCTGTCCAAATCAGCAACACACGAATACCCCCCACAATCGCTGCCAACAGCTCGTAATACATTTTAACTGCTCCTTGGCCTTTGATGTGTAAGCCTTCTGGGCAACATTATCATTACCCTTTATTTACCTCTGTATGTGAATGCAGCGCTGCACAGCCACTTGCACATGCTAAGTGCGACTAGTTTGTTTGTGTCTGAAGTAAAGCACATTGGCCTAAGAACCACGCAAGAATTTTGCCCTCTTTGCTAGCAAAACCCTGAACCAGCCAAAATAAACACCAATATTATCCCAGGTTATGGAGAGCTTATTTTGAAAGTGGATGAGCAAATACAGGTATGAACAGGACAAACCAAAAGAGTTGTTTACCTAGGGAGAAGACTTAGTGGGAGAAAGGAGACCTGGTTGAGTCTGGAAGCGTGGACATCATGTCAGGATAAGCAGATAGTGTGCCTTGCACACATGCACATGCTGGAAGTAAGAACACTGTTCTAGCTGAAACACTGGATACAGGCAAACTCATGAAAATGTAATGGGCAAATTTTAGTGAGCCAGGGTGATTTCAGTTCCAGGCTGGGGCATTCTTTGCAACTTTGGAGACATTTATGGTTTTGAGGGTTCTCATAATTGAAATAGTTACAATCGCATTTCTCAGGGAACATGAATATGCATGGTGGCATTCAGGTTATTGGTTTGGAAGGGCGCTCAGCCCAGCTAGGAAAATGTGAAAACACTCAGAGCCCTGCAGGATTAGTTGAACACGGCACAGGTTAGCTAAAGATGGTTTCAGAGGATCCACACAATCCACGGGTGCTTACAATAGGGGGGTGGAGAAACAAACTCCCTGTAATAAGTATTTTTGTGGGAAATTATGGGTATACAATCTTAATATGGGTGTGCCACATTAACACACAGAGTCCCCAAGCCCAGACAGTGAAGGAGGAGATCCTGGGTAGTGAGGGAGGAGATTTGGACTTTGCCCAGCCAGGCTGTAGCCTCTGAAGTTTTCTACTGATCCTGCTATCTTCTCTGACCAAAAGTGATAAACGACTCCCCCCACCTCCATGATCATCCTGAAGCTGTGAAACAAAGCTCTGCTCACTGTTGCCCTCCTCTACCCAGAGGGCTGATATTTCACTTTTTATAAATTCAAATCTTTGATTGAGCAGGGCGAAGCATAATTTCCCTATTGCAGGCATCATTCTGCAAAGGATGCAATGGGCTATGCCCTCATAGCACAGAGCTTGGTGTAGCAACCATGGCCAGTCTCCAGATGCTCCAGTTCTGCAAGGGACTTGTGCTGGATTAAACTAGGACTACCCCATAAAACTGTGAGGAAGGCAGAAAAAGGGGCTGCTTGCAGCATGTTGCTGCATCTGTCCCTAAAATAGGAATGAGCCCTTCCCCACTCACCCTGAAAGCATGTGGGGATAAATAGACCGCAAAGTGGAGCTATTAAAACAGGTCCAGGGGAGGCTTGGTTTCAAGCAGGACGTGGGACACCAAACAATAGCTGCCATTTTGAAGCAGCTAGAGCCCAGGGTGCTCTTGACAACGTGGTGGAAAACACTGTCTCAGGGTACGACCCTTGCTTGCGAAATAAATAGGCCCCTGAGAATTCACTGTGCAATGGCTGCTGACGTGCAAATTCAGAGCTGAAAAGCATCAACTGTACTTTCTAAAAATATGAAAGAGCAGTGCCCAGGGGAGGATGGCTTGGGAAGGAAGAAGCAGAGGAAAGAGCCCAACGGTGTTCCTGCATCCCTGCAGGATTTCTGGGAAGGTACCATGCCTTTCCATGCCCTGCAAAGAGCAGGGTCACACTGGGGGCCCCGCTCGCAGCAGTCACCACACCATGCAAACAAGCACCTGAAGGAAATAGCCCCTTCCCTTTGTAAGCCGTCAGGGAAGATTACATCCCTACAGCAAGCTTTGCCCACTGGAGACAATCCTCCAAGACAAGCTGTTGGCTTGCAAAGGAGGAGTCATGCACTTGGCTGCAACTGAGAGGAGGACAAGAGCTGCTGCTGTCCCAGGTGATCTCCCAGGACTCTCCTCACCAGGACAGCAGGCTTTAAGACCTTGGAGAGGCTTTGCTGCCCAGCAGGTCTGAACTACATGGCCAGATGCACCCATGCAGGGCAGCCTCTGCGGTGATCCTGACCGCTGCCACCATCTCCGTCTGCCCTTCCAAGCCCCCAGAGATGGAGAGGGCTCCTCAGCTGCAGGACAGGCCAGCCAAGAAAAAGGTGCAGAAACAGTTAAAGTAGCTGGTAAATAAAATTCCCAGCAGAAAAAAAAACATGATCAGGGCAGAGAAAAGCATCCTTTCCAGCACTGCCAACCCCACATACTCAAAAATTATGCATCAAGATCCAGAGAATCACAGCTTTAAAATTGCAAGGGGTTTTGTTCTGGTTTTTTAAAGAAAATTATAAATGTTTGAGCTTTTCCTAATTGCAGTCTGGTTTCCTGAAGTTTATGATCACATTTTCAAACTTTTCTGCAAATCCCTGAGGGCTATGAACTTCTTCTTTTTTTTTTTTTTATAAAATAAAATTGAGGAGCTCACCTAATGCCCATAGCTTTGGGGCAAACAGCAAAGATCAAAAGACACACTAAAATGAGGACTATAGGAAACACTGGAGATCTCAGGAATGAACACCCTCCAGTATACATCTTACAATTTCCCCCCAGTGTTCCACAAAAACACTTTTAGAAGATATTTTGCTGTTTTAACAAACATCACATTGCTTAAGTACTTTATTTGCCAGCATGAAGAGCAGGTCTTCAGTGGCATTTTGCTTCCAAGAATAATGTTGTTTGCAGCCAAGGCCTGCAGAAAAGTTAAAACTGAGGCTGCTGTCCCTGGCTAAGGGGACCAGAGAAGCACACAGTTTCCAGGAACATGTTGTGTGCTCAAGGTTGCTGCTGTTCACAGAGCAAGGAAGGTTGTGAAATGTTATCTTGGTCAAACCCAGACCTGACTTTCCATCTTTAGCCTGATCCATACAGAAATATATTGCCCAAAAGGCATCAGCTTACTTTCTTTGTCTCCAAACTGCCATGTCTTACAGGGAGACCTGTGTTACAGGCAGACAGGCTGTGGGAAATGTATCAGCCAGTAAAGAGCTCAGTGATCCTGCAAGATTAAAGGCTGATCTGAGTGCAAACTTGCTATCGTGCCTCTTGAAAGGATTTGGCGGCCTGATTATCGATTGCTGTCCTTAAGAGAATGTGATCCTCTCTTTGCACTGATCCTGTTAGCTTTATTTACGGTAACACGTGCTGAAACATCCTCTTGTAGAGATAATGGCCTCCTTTGGTTGCTGCCAGAATGAACAAATGGAAACAAAAACATGCTGCTAATAATTATGTCCTACTCTAATTAAAACAAGACAAAAACACTGCACTGCTGGGTTTGGTTTGCCATGGCCTGGGTGCTTGGACAAGCCCTGGGCACAAGGGCTGACCACAGGAATGCCAATAACCAAAGCACAGCAGTGCCTAATATATCAGTGGAACTCAAACCCATGAGGTTTCCACCAGCCCAGAAACTCAGCAAAACATTCATGAAGACAAGGAATATGTTTGGTACCCAAACTGGGATCCAGCTACATGGAGGCTGCTCCTCTAGGCAGAGCTCAGCCCACATGAGCTTAATAAGCTGCCAGAGGTGATGGCAGATGGGTAAAGTACACAAATTATCAAAGGTTTTTTAACAGTCCTCTTGAACTTTTCATGGCACATCTGCACCATGCAGAAAGGCCAATAGCTCAGTTCAGGCAGAAGGCAACAGCTGTAGCAGGATGGTTGAAGAGAAGCAGAATTTGGTTTGCCTGTGTCCCACAGCAGGACATTAAGTAAGAAAATAAGTCTAGCTCCCTTCTCCTGTAAGTGAACACCATAAGCTCTGCACATGCTGCCTCTTCAGTCTGAATCAGGGTCCAGTCACAACAGGTGCAAATTGAAGAAAAAGGAACAAAATAAGTGGGGAAGAAAAAAGAACAAATGCCTCCACAAATCCAAAATAAAAAGCAGTGGCACAGCCACACCACTGAGCACTCACAGAGCTTGCCCTGTAAACAAAAGTATCCAAGTACTGCTGTACACACAAATATTTATTTAGGATTACTCCACTGATGGATTGTGAATAACAAGAGCTTGGTCAATACTCCAGGATTACCCAGGGATGACCAGACTTCAAACATGCCTTGGGATATGGTTTCAAGAGCCCCACCTCAGCTATGGTGGGGCCTTGTGAATTCCTGCTGTCCCCTATGCCCTCAGGCTGGCACACTTGGGACCCCCCAGTGGCCTGTGGGAGTCAGGCTTTCACACCGGCCTTTCTGTGGATGCTGAAAACAGAACCAGGCTTAAAAGAAAACTGTAGCAAGAACACGCTATGCTTATCGCTTATTAAGGTCAAATTGCTTCCCCACTGCTTTTCCCACAAAGGAGATGGTTATAGAGCAGGACCAAGATCTAGACTGATCCCAGCCGTCCCCTCAATTGCTTTTTTGGTCCTCATGAAGCAGTGCAGTGTGGCTCCAGCCACTTCTGTCTCTTAGGGAGCTCTTTGCTGCTAAGTAAACTAACATGTCCTCTTCTTTAAACTCTTAACACCCATGGGAGAGAGAGAAATCTGACCTTCTAATACACACAGTCTACAGCTTCCACATAAAGTCCATGAGTAACCACAAGTGTAAGAAAGGAGACAAGGTCATTTCGAGGCACCAAAGTCAGTGATACAAGAATGCTGAAGGAGCAGACAAGGACCAGGCAAAGCCACAGGCTCCACAGTGGCATCACAGTGGCTAATAATACTACTTATTAGCCCTGTAACTCCAAAAGGTCAGCTTGGTCCTACAAGGTCAGGCATCCATTTAAATATAGATCTGTTTTGGACTGGATTACTTAAATTATTTCTTCTTTTTGTTCTCCAAAAAAGATATTTTTCCTCCTCATGCTTTTTAGAAGTCTTTCACACAGCCACCTGGGGACTCATTTTTAAGATTAACCGTGGTAGTAGTTTCAAGGCTTTCTCCTGGACATGGAAATTTCTCTCACTTATAAAGGCAATTTGGCTGCCCTTCATATGGGAGCTTAGGGAGCAGCAGGAGGGGAAAAACTGGGTGACGAGTCTACATTGTTATAGACCTGTTGGCTCTCCCTGAGGGTTTACATAAGGGTCTTGGACTCTTTCATTAATCCTTGGTGATTCTTGATCGCCTTATTTCTTACTTTCCACTTCCCTAACCTTTATTAAATCTTCCTATTCATTATGTAGGAAGGAGGGCTAGTTCATGTCACTAACAGAACAGTTTAAAGCTACGACATCAGAACTTGAGCGCAATCTACCCAATAAAATTATTTAAAGTATAAGTTTTGATAAAAACAAAGCACACTCACCTCAGTTGAAGGTGTAATTGCCCTTTGTAGATGTACAGCATCCACAGCTGGAAGTTAGGCAAGGGACTGGGCAACCTTCTGCTGCCCAGATCAGCTCTCCCAAGCTCGTGTCAAAGAGTCTTCTCGTATGACCCAGAGAAAACATATCATTCTCTGTATAGTTATCACCCCACAGAGGTCAAAAGAACAGTAGACAAGGTTCATTTCTGCCATGAAACTAAGAGTAATAGCTGGGGCTATACAGATTGGAGACAGGCTTAAGGAATGCTCTGCTGTCCTGCTGACAGCATTTTATCAAAGTTGCAAGAAAACTTAAGCTGTCAAATTTTTCTGAAGCTGTTGACGTCTGGTCCCCTAGGAAATGAAACAGTCAAGACTAACTAGACCCACTAAATACATAGTTAACAAGTAACTACATTAAACAATATCTCTTTTCCTACAGAGAAAAATAAGCATCACAGACATAAACACGCTTCCTTCTATAGAATTTCCTCTCAAAAATATGCCTTTAAGGTGATTCTACTCCAACACCATGCTGACACCCTTCCTGGGGGCAGAGGCAGCAAAAACAGAAACACCCTCTGTATCTGGGAACGTGGGGTGCCCCCAGTGCTCCCCTCAACACATCAGCAGGAGGGTTTCTGCCCCAGACCTGCAACCTTCTTCCCACCAAGGGAAAGCAGAGTCTTTCCCATGTAACACCACATTGCCTGCTGCTACAGGCTCCTTAGGGAAACAGAGAATGTACCTCAGCAGCCAGAAATCCATGGCAACCTGTGTTTGCCTACCATAAAAATCACCCTTCTCCAGAAGCGGAGCTCTCTGTCTGGAGCAAATCCCTCAGGGTAGTAACACCACTGAGAGAATGGGGCAGAATGCTTCCCTCCCACCAGGCCCTTTGGCAGTTTCCAGTGCTGGTAGAAAGCCTCGCTCTAGAAATTTGGAGGAAGATTCAGTGCACTGATATAATAGAAATGTTCATCTAAATGGCTGAAGTACCTCACACTCTCAGGAGCAGCATTTCTTTCTCCAGAGCTTCCCACACTGCTTGAGGCATAAACAATGCCCACCTGGCCAGCAAACTCAAATTTAAAACACCCTCCCTGACACAGAGAAAAGGCATCAGAGTAAGCTTCTTTTTCACTGCTGACCAAATGGAGCATGCTCCAGCGGACACTACTGAGTCGACTCTGGGTCTGTGGCTGGGATGAAGCCATCAGTAAAATTACACAGGGTGCAGCATCTCCACTCTGACTGTTTAAAATAAATGTCACTAAACCAGACAGATGCTGGCATTGTGTCCCAGCAGGTACTAATTTAGCCCACACAGAGTGCTCTTACATCATTTGTTCTGGGCACAGTTTAATTGCTAAATTAATTACTTTCCTATGAAACAAAATTGTACAAGAGGTAATCGTGATTTTTAAGCTTGATGGATGCTAAATGGGATTTGAATACATAAAAACAACTTTGACTCCTGTCTACGCTCAGGATTGCTGAGAGTAGCACCACCAGGGTAGGGGGCCAGCAAATGCCTAGCAGTGGGGAACAGGGCACAGCTGCCACCAGGAAGGCAGAGATGCAAGGTCCCAGCCACCCTGGCATTGGGTGCCGGATGGGGCCACCATCTGTGCCAGAACGCTGCAGCAGACACAGCTGGGCAATGAACTGCAGGTCACAGTGCTGTCCATTCCCGGCACTTCCCAGTGGCTGCAGGAAGTCTCCAGGATATGCTCCCTGTATCATGACAGGGCCTTCAGCCTTGCTGCAGGGAGCCCTGCAGGACCATCCAGAGCTGGGGGAGCCTCTCCAGCCCCCCTCCATATGTAATATGCCGGATAGTCCCCGCCATAGTGGAGTTGGTGTGGCAACACACTAGCACCCAGCATGGGGATGAGGAGAGAGGGGAGTGCGGCCATCACCGTGTCATCAGGCTACAGCTGATCTCGGCCAGTGATACACAGCAGCTTCTGCCCAGAGTGCTCCATGCCAGGTGGCGAATGGTTTGCATCTCAAGACCAGCCCATTCAACTTCTTTTTGTTTCTGACCCTACTGCAGGGGGCTCAGACACAAGCAGTGCTAACGGCCACTCCGAACACAGAACTTTTCCTGTGACAGGACAGAATAGACATAGATTTTAAATGGAAAACTTCCCATCTAAATGGGACTCATCTTCAGGTGATGACAGAAGTGAAAAAATATGGAGAGTACGAAAACTGTGGTGTGAGGAAGCCACAGCTGGAACAAGTCATGACAAATCATGATTGCCTCTGAAGAAGCTCCTTGTTCCATTCCCTGACATCCTCTCCAGCATAGTGCCCACATGTGGGCAGGGCTGTGGTGGGCAAAACCTCAAAAACACATAGAAATGAGCAAACTGATTAGCCAAGCACATAACTGTACAGTTCTCATTGTTTTCTCAAACCTTACCTGAGCAAAATACGGACACAAGTTGTTGAAGTCATGCCTGGTATTGTGGGCCAAGAGAAAGTGAAATCTGACATAAATCAAGCACCACTGCTCCTGTCGGGCACATCTGATGGAACAGAGCCTTTGGGCAACTACAGGACTGAGCTCAAGTTATATTAAGTTCTGTAAAAACACAGAAGAGACAATGATCGCAGCTGCAAACTAGAAAACTGGACTTCAGCTTCTCACTATTGAAAGAAGCACATAAGCCATTTTGTATTTATCAGATAAATTTATAAAGCTGCATTATGAAAGCATGAACCACTAACTCCTTTAAAAAAAGAAAGTCCACAACACAGCTCACTTTGAGCTCCAACAGGAAGTCTGCGAACTTGTATGCGTTTTCTTATTCATTTTTTAAATGCCTCCTTTAACGCCTCCAGTTTGTTAAGTGTCCCGTGATGCCTGTTGTATTAAGCCATATCTCTGAATTTGGGACTATTTGACTTCATAAAGGCGATCTAGGGAATCTACGGTGAGACTGTTTTAGGAGGCCTGTTCCCCGCGGGGAGCGCCGGGGCGCTGGGCATGCGGCCACTGCCCTCCAGCGGCGGGAGCCGGGCAGGACTCTCCGCGCAGCTCCGCGGCTCCACGCAGAGGCCCTTGCGCCGGGGGCTGGCTGCTGGAGCACGTATGAGTTGAGAGAGAAAAAGCGGAGAACATCTGAAGAACAGCTCGAAGTTTACCTTTTAGGAACTAAGACCTTCCAGGAAGCGGCTGAAGGAAGGAAAAGGCGTGCTTTGCCTAGGGATGAAACAGGCAGCTTCTCCACCAGGTCAGCAGCAGCCCTGGCAGGCTACCAGCAGTATGCTCACACAACACCCAGGCCCACTGCATGGGAGCATGCTCCTTTCTCCAGCCATGCTCTTCAGGCATCCCACCTCCTGCATCTCACCGAAGGGAGCAGCAGCTTTAGAGCCAAGATCCAGTTCTCTTGGCCACACCTGAATGCAAACCCCCAGCTCCAATGCTCGTGTGAAACAACTGGATGTCCCAGGATGAGCCAGGGTGAAACAATGATCCTAATTTATTCTGCTTCCCTTGACCAGTTTCTCCCTTGGCTCCCATGGCATTTCCTCCATTAACTACTGGGAAGCAGCAGGAATGCTTGAACAATAAACAACTAGCAGGCGTTTTTTTAACTGTTAGGGTAGTTGAAATATTCTTCTACAGCCCTGCAAAGACAAAGGGTGAGAGCATTAGAACATTGTCATTTTTAAAAACCTGAGCTGCACTGAGGAAGGGGCTCCAGGTGCTGCTGAGGCAGTGACACTTAGTTGCTTGTCTTGACCCTTTTCTCACCTCTTACAAAACTGGGTGCACAGCTAAAAGGCAAATGCAGTGAAAAACAAACATTTCCTTAGGAAGACTGGGGATTTGCAGGAAAGAAAAACCTGAAGGGAGGAGTAGAAAGAGATAAGGAATTGCTGTGGGCTTCGCTCACACATTTTCACTTATTTCCTATGGATCTTGCTCATGTGCTACTATGGCAGCCTTTGCTTGTGTCTAGAAATCTTGCAGATGCCCAAGGAAAAATGAAACGCATACAGTGCTGTAGGCCACATCCTCCCTGCTTACTCAGCCAGGGCCCAGCAATGAGGTCAGGCAGTTGTCAGTGACACAGAAGTCTCAAGGCAAAACCTGTGATTTATGGGGAAGGGCCTTGCCTCCAAGCATGGCGTTGTGGTACTCACAAAGATGTAGGAGAAGCCTTGGGCATGGATGTGCAAAGCCACTGGGAGCTGCAGGCACTGCTCCTCTCCACCTGATGAGGGATGCCTGTGCTGGGCTCCTGAGCTGTTGTTGGGGCTTTTCTAGCCTGGCTGCCAGCCTGGAAAACAAAGTTTCCAACCAAAGCAAGAGCGAGTGAGGAGGAACAAGGAGACCAGCTCCTACATTCCTTCCTGCTGCCAGCAGCGTTTCCAGAGCAATAGGGCTGGAGAAGCTGAGCCTATTGAGCTCCCAGATGAATAGGAGCAATGGACATGCTACTGAAGAATTATAATGCCCTTCAACATAGGGATTAGAACTCAGCCTTAGGGCAGCAAACCTCCCTGATTAAAATCTCTTCCCCAGTACTGTAACACAACTATCCTATAACAACTTCCCTATCTGTGAGGCTCTTTTAAACCCAGGCTTTATATTCTGCAAGCAGAGGACAGGATTCTACCAAAGGGGAAACACTTTCTTGATGCAGAAGGAGTGAAGAGTGCTATCACTCACCAACTTCATGCAGGAAGGGATGGAGTAGCAGGTGATTTGACAGAAGCCTCGTACAGCTGCATCCACAGGCATGTGGGGTAATGACATTCACTTTGCTCTAGTCTAATGTGTTAAGCTATGTTTCTCGAGTCTCTCCCTGGATCTAGGGACAATTTGAAGGCAAATGTCTTAAACGAAGGCAAAATCTGGAGGAAGAGATCAGAAAGCACGGCGCCTTAGGACAGGGCAGGCAATGTGCCATTCCCCAGCATACCAGGCATAGGGAAGCACATCCCCTATGCAGCCAGGGGTGGAACAGTGGCAGGATGACCAGCAGTCACCCTTGCAGCAGCTGGAGGATCAACCACCTTTCTAGTCCCTCTTCCTGCCCCAGCATCAGCTGCTCAGCTCCTGCTTCCCTCCATGCCAGAGCACCGAGTGCATGTTGTGCCATGCAGCCTTGTACTGAAAGCATGAGGCAGGTACCACTCAGGGGTGGGTAAAAGCTGCCTATTTGGATTTGCTTGAAGAGCTCGGGTAATGTCTGCAGCCCCAGCTGGATCATGGTGCTGAAGGCAGCACTGCGTGCCCATTGAGCACAGCCCTGCACTGCAGAGGTCAGTTGAGGCTCCTACTATGCAGAACATCCCCTCAATGATAAAGATGAAATAATATTTTGGATATTAAGGCTTGCAGAATTAGTTCCTATATGCAACCAAAAAATTTCCAGACAGTGTCCGACTTAGCATATCAGGAAAAGAGACATGAAAGCCCCTAAGAATTTACTAGAGAAATGACTCACCCATGGAGGAAGTTTCTTCCTAGACCTCCTATCAAGATGTTGCTTCATGGCCAGAAGAGTATTTTATAACGCTCATTAAAAACAAAGTACCCTGGGATGCATCATGTTTTTAAGCACTGGCCCTAGCAATATCTTGTGGACAAGAGTTCTGATTCATTTTCCTTTGTATGAAGTGTCCGTCTTCTGAACAGGTCTCCCTCTCCCACCAGCTATGTTCTCGTTCTCATTGTGAGGCTGGATGCTGGAAGAGGTGGGAGACCAGAGCAGAAGTTACACAAACTGCACATCATATTTCTGAAGTGAATGGAGTTCACGGCTGATTGCTTTAAACGTGGATTTCTGTTTCAATGGCTGCTGAAGGGTAAGAGCAGTGTCCTGAGAGCTCATGTTTTGCTTGCATTAATTGAATGTTATTTGGACTTCTTCAAGCCTTCCTTCACTTTCCCAGCTACTTGCAAAAGAAGGGACCTCTAAACCCTTCAGTAGGATGAACGAAACTGAGTGAGCTTTTGAGAGCCCAGAGCTTTGGAGCCCAAGTTGCATGCAAAGAACCTCATTGACCAGTGTGGCACCACCATTTGCATTTGGCCAGCAGGCCATGGACAAAGCACTGAATGCAATCCTTGTCATGGTCCTCTTTGTCATCGTGGAGATACCTAATTAACATGCATGAACTTTATAAGTAGTGAACGTGTAAGACATTTACTGAACATGTAAGCCGAGAATGGGACATACACGATTAGAGGAGCTATCATCCTGTGTGTCTGGTGCTGATAATAAAGGAATGCCTGCCCGCTAACGCTCACAAATTGAGTTTTAGGGGTTTCTTATTGCCGATTTACAGTAACAAGTCTCTTGTCAAGGTTGTCACTTTTGGAGTGGGGGGAGGAAGAAGACAACAGAATTGCCAAGTACTGCAGCTGAAGGAAGGAAACATTTGGATCCTTTGCTAGAAAAGTACATAAAAAGCTCAAAACTTAATTTAAAAATATATACAGTATTGGTATAGACATAAGATAGACTCTTCTCCAACTTCAGCAGGTCCATAATGCCAAAGCCCGGCTGTCTATTTGCAATGATGGCTGAAGAACGCACTGTTGAATGAGATCCTGCACCAGTCACCCCCCTCTGATGCTTCCAGTCCAGCTTTCTGCAGTCCCTGGAAACAAAGCAGCAGCAGAGTAGCTGCTACAGAGCTGCTGCAGTATCACTTTACCACATTTCATAGCTATGTGGAAGGGTAACTGCTAATGGGGAAAAAAAACTTGCTCTCATTTGGATCCTCAGGTGTGCCTTCAGTGCAAAGCAGTTGACATTTGAAACAACCATACAGGTGCTTGTAAGACTACAATAAAAAAAAGTGGCTTTCTAGGCTCCAAATCATAAATCACTGGAAACAACACAGCTTCACTCTTTTGGTAGGAGTTCCAAGTTCCTTCCTCTTGCTTTAAATCACCCAGCAATACCAATTGTAGCTGTGTCACAATCTTTCCATGAACCTTGAATGTGCCTTTTATCAGTCAGTGCACTCAACAGCACCCCTGAGGGGAACAACACCCAGTTATGGTGACAGTACATGCACCAGTACTCCTGAGGATTGGCATTAACACCTCCAATGTCCAAAGTATGCACTGTAACTTCAAGTAATCCACCTTAACTAAGGATAAACAGGTTCATACCAAGAACCTACACTGAGTAACACACAATCATTTCTGGCCAGAAGTCAACATAATCCCCCATGATGCAAAGCCTGGGAGTTTGTTTTAAAATGGAAGCTCCTCGTCACAACAGTCAGCTCCCCAGGGAATATGCAGACACCTACTCACACCACTTGCAAGGCAAGTAAGCGGTGCAGTTTAGAAACAGAATTCAGAACAACTATTTACACAGCAGACAGTATTTCATGTTTAGCCTGAGAGAAGAGTCTGACATCCCACCCCCTTCCCATCATTGGGTGCCTTCAGCTACCCAGGTTCCAGTTGAAGCTAAGTCCCACTGGGACACAGATGCCCATCATCAACCCAAGTAAGCAGGATCAACTCACTTAAGGTCTCAACACAGCTAACCTTCCACCCGCATGTCAGTGCTGCTTTTATCCCCAGAAGTTAAAGCCCTTTCTTCTACACCTCTTGGGGTGATCCAGCATCAGATCCCAAGCCTGTGAGAATGAAGCCTCCCCTTCTCCAAAGCTGACTAGTAAAGATCCAGTTAACTACGGATCTAAGCCCCTCTCCATGCCTACTCCCAGCAGCGGCTGGTACACTGCCACCTTAACACACTGATCCACAAGGCACAAATGCTCCTCCCTCCATTACCTCAGTACACAAGGACTCTGCAACAGCAAGGAGAGAAGGCAGCAGGGCTGCAGAGGCCAGACCTCGTTCTGAAAGGAACCCCCTTGCACTTCCTATGGTCTATCCAGACCTTTTTAAAGGTTTCAACAGATTATTAGAATAGCTTTGTAAAGCACTTTATAGAGAAAACATTATTTTTAAAATTAAATTCTAAAGCTCTCTTGTGGGTGAGGGCTTGAGAAATGCAGGGATTGCAGAAAACTGCTGCCCCTAGAAGGCACCAACACTAAAACGCAAAGCCTCAGGGTACCACTGCTGTACTCCCACCCACCAACTTAAAAATGCCTCTTGTCCCAGAACGAGGACTAATGCCTATCAAAATGGTTTATCTCAACATTCTCAGAAGCATCTGCACACACACACTAATGATGCATGCTGACTACATGAATCTTAACATTCCATGCTTATTACCCAAAGTGATTAAAAGCTAAATGACTCATCTGTTCCATTTTTTGCTATGAACAGTGACAAGCATAATTGTTCTTCTTTCAGAACACACAGACGTTCAAGGACATTGCATGATGTATTTAAAAGGACGCCACTTCTCCCCCTATAAATAATAATAATAATAATAATAATAATATTATTATTCTGGTGGTCTAGTGGTTAGGGTGCAGGACTCTCACCGCTGCGACCCGGGTTCGATTCCCAGCCCCTCAGGCAGATGGAGCTCGTTAGCCCTGTGAGGCAATCCATCTAAGAGAAGGTCACTCTAAACAAACCTACATCCTGGGGACCTCACTGCCACTGTCCAAGCTTGCTCGGCCCCGGCAGATGAACCTCAGGATTAAAGGGTGGGCTCAGTTCAGTGCACGCTGTGTCTCACCTAAAAAATCCACTGCGCAGGCTCGAAGGGTTAATGACCTTTCCCAAATCTTCGCTCGCGAAGACTGGCCATTATTACATTATTACTTCTCCCCCACACCCAAAACAGTCATCACTTTGCCACAGACTCATCTTTAAGAACCATTTTAATGCAGCTACAAACACTTTATTAACACTAAGAACAAACTAAGAACAAACTAGACACAGAAATGTTTCTTTATACTTTATTTGAGCTATTTCATTCTTAGGTATCAAGAATTAAGAGTGCTTCATAGAATATTATTACCACAGGGCAGTGAAATGGGCATTTTCTTAGTGTAGTGCAAGTCATATTAAATGAAAATATTTTAAAATAAAGTTTTATTAGCAGTACCAACCAGCACTTATCTGCTGACCTATAACTGAAACAATATCTCAAAAGCACAAAAAAATACCTTCTGAAATACAGCTTTATGTACAGCACATATAGAGCTCTTGGATGCCTAAAGCTATTAGTTTGATATTAAACTAATGCTTTTGAGTTGCTATTCACAGTCGAATATACTGAGAATTAAGTGTTCAGATGACTTTTAAGTACAAAAAAATTTTTCTGCTTTAGTTATAAAGAGCTCTGCCAATATACACAAACTATACACTTCAGACATTCACAAAAAAATGTGAGCAAGAAAAGGGTTATCAAAAAACATTTAATACAATTAGTCAATAACCCTTCCCACCATGGTCCACATCTACAAAGTTCTCCCATCCCTCCCCCCACCCCATCCAAACCCTTCCCCACAGAAAGTCACATACTTACCACAAGTTTTAGCAAGTATGGTTTAAAAAAGGGCCCCAAGGCAAGTTACTTATAGTTCAGTTGCCACTGTCAACAGATCTAGACCTTGATCTAGACCTCTGCCGATCCACTGATGATGGAGATTTTGATCTGCTGGATGAACGACGTTTCTGGCTCTTGTCTGGCATTGGAGATCTACTAACTGACCGAGACTTGCTATGGCTCCTGCTCCGTGACCTGCTGTAAGACTTGCGGCTGCGGGAACGAGAACGGCTACGAGACCCGGATGAGCTTCTGCTGCGCGACCGCGACCTGCTTCTGGACCTACTGTGGAAATGAAGAGCAACAGCGTGAGCAACAAAATCCCACGGACCACGGCAATAACCAGGCAATTCACTGGGCCCCAGAGTTCAGCTGCCTGGTCACTGACTTCAAGGCTTTCTCCGTGAATATTTAAGCATTATTCAAGAGAACAGAAATCCATACCTGTGCCTTTTGCTGCCTTCGATTAGTTTGATTTTCCTTCCATTAATTTCTTTACCAGAAAGCTTTTCAATAGCATTCTTTAAATCACTGTAAGAGGCGAATTCAACCACCCTACAGAAAACAGAAAAAAAAAATCCCTGAACACAAAGATTACTATTACAAGTTGTATTTATAAACACAAGCACAATTTACAACCGTGAAAAAATGGGGAAAAAAATGAAAAAAAAAAAAAACAAAAAACCAAACTGCAAAACACACTGCTCAGTGTAAATATCCCTTGTTATAACTGAAGCATGGAAAATTCCACTCCCTAAATACTGAATGCATTTTCAAAGGGCAGTGAAATTAAACCAGGAACAGCTGCTGACACTGAAAGTAGCCAGCTTCCCTCCCCAAATATTACACATAAGTTATTACTCTACAGCTTTCAAGAGGTGATTTGAGAAGCTTACCCTTCATTTAACTTAGGTCTATGTGCATCTGCAAAGGTTACTTCCCCGGCTTGTCTCATGAAGTCTTTGAGATCCTAACACAAGACCACTTATGTTATGCACAGAAGTGAAATTAATACTTATCTATACAAAAGTAGTTTAAAACAAACAAAAGAATCTTATGACTACTGAAAGAGAAGATGTTAGGTAAATCACAAACATGGCAACTGCCATACTTGTATTCTATCAATACTGAATTATCTATATTAGGGCACGAAATAAATGAAAAAAAGCATATTGCTTTAAGCAAAATGCTAATAAAGTGTCTTAACAATAAGGCAAATATTAGTCTACAATGATTTTTACAGATTAAATAACAAAGAGAGAGAAAGAGAGAGAGAGAAAGAAATAAAAAAGCACATTTGTATACATACTGGATTGAGTGTGAAATACTACCCATATATTTTTGGATTATTTCAGTCTCCATTTACATTACAAATCTTACACGAATATAGAATTACATTTACATAACGCCAATTATTTTGTGCCCCATATGTCATTAAAAATATAGTTTACTTTACCTTCATTAACAATTCCCTAGGCTAGCCAAGCAGCAAACTGCATTAAGCGACCGGAGATACCGTCATGACATATGCCCGACTGGCTCTTCGCCACCCACTTGACGAACACTACCCAGTCGATGGAAGCCATTAATCGCACTGCCCTCCCTATCAGGAGACTATGGATGGATCCAGACATTCTCTATGCTCGATGTCACCAAGGACCACTTTACTGCGATCAGGATTCCAACGACCACCTAATTTCGTATCTTTCAACTCTTTTCGACCAGGACCTCGTTATTCGGAAGCGTTACAGGAAGAACAGCTCTCAACTTAGGAATCAGATCTCGTTAACGCTCTGGGATCGCTGCAATGTGGCACTTTAAGGAGTGCATCGATTACGTCTAGACCGGCAAACACAGATCTAGAGGTGGCCAAGTGACATTGTAGGAGCTGACTGGAAAGTCAACCAGGCCCGACCAAGAGTGACCAAGACAGAACGATTAGGATAACCCACAGGCACTCCTCGTCATAAGGCCAACGACACAGATAGGCTGGCAAATAAAGGGTTTAATATGTGGTTAAAATGGATTTTAAAAACAAGAAAAAAAGTAAATATATATCCTCAAATATATATATTTATTATTATTATAAATTTAAATTAACTAGTTTTCATTCAAAATATTTAAATTACATTAAAAATCATATTAATTACATAAACATTTTAACAAGTTAGATTTAATTTTAATTAATTATTTTACAAAATAACTACATTATATAACATTTCCTTTAAATTAAATCAAAATAGTTAATCGTATTTCAACAAACCTGCCAGCTGACTCGGGAAGACAAATTTTCCACTATGAGGCGATTTTCTGTTCTTAAAGGTGGGGCATTTCTATTTGGAAATAAACAATTCAGACTTTTATCAGCAAACAATATATAACCACTTTAATATTAACTAAGGCTGTACCAAGAGCCAGTATTGGCATATCATTAGCACTACAAGCTGAACTATGTAATACCCTGAGCAATGCTGGACAGGCAGTAAATACTTTTGGGAG